TGCTGTTTGTTTCATGCAGATATTTTTTATGTATAGTTTCACCAAACTGAAGTCAAACCATTCTGTTTTTGCTTCAAATTTCAAAATTCAAAATCTAATTTAGATTAAAAACTGCTCGTGTTGCATGTATGCAGCATCTTTGTTTGGATCATGATTAAAATGCAGTGGTTGCCTCATTTTAAATGAAGAGATTTATTTTATTTGTGTTACTTATTTATTCGATTTGGGGCTTGTTTAAAAATGTCTATTTAGTTTTGTTATTTACATTTACATTATATTAAAATTTTGCTATTTAGCAAACGCTTTTATCCAAAGTGACTAACAAATGAGGACAATAGAAGCAATCAAAACCAACAAAAGAGCAATAATTTACAAGTGCTATATTAGTATATTATTATAGTGTTCTATTTCAGTTTCACAAAGAAACGTACAGTATTTTGGCCAAGCAATAATAAAAGGACACATTTAATTTATAATTTGTCTTAAATCTCAGTTCGTGAATCAAATCGTGAAATCAAAATCTCGAATCGTTACATTCCTACTTGTGAGCTCTGATATTTCCATCTGTTTCACTCAGTTCCTGTAGCTGCAGTGTTCATGAATCTGGAATATTCCCACAGTGTCAGAATAGAGAGTGATTGCGGTGGAATGACTCTTATGCGTTTGATGTATGATCAGCATTCATGCGTATTGATTAGGATGCTGCTGCTGCTGAATGACGTGAGTGTCGTCACAGGTGATCACGGACCTGGAGGAGCAGCTGACCCAGCTGACCCAGGAGAACGCCGAACTGAACCGGCAGAACTTCTACCTGTCCAAACAGCTGGACGAGCTGACGGTGGAGAGCGAGGAGCGACTGCAGCTCAGTCAAGACGTGGACCATCTACGCAGAGAGGTGGCCGACCGAGAGATGCACCTCAACAACCAGAAACAGGTGCGCAAACGCGTCTGCTCATCATCTGCACACACAGATTAACGCCAAAACTACTTTAACACTAGAACCGCCAGGGGTCGCTGTATACCTACAACCACCTGCGGGTAAATTTTCCCCACGCACATGTAGGGTTGGGAACCGAGAACTGGTTCTTATTAAAACTGGTTCTGTTTTTTTTAAAAGAACCAGAACCGTGAGCAATTTCTAAGTTTCGGTTCCAAAAACGTACCAAGTGCTGTGAGCAGCTTTGCGCTGGCGTTTCCCGTAAAGGATGTCACAAACCAAGTAACAGAAATGCCGCCCTGCCTCTTTAATTACTGAGCACATCGTTTCCCATGACACGCACTCTACAGACGCGCCGCGTCTTTAACTGCCGAACACAGTTTTCCACCACTTTACGTGCACTCGCATCTTTGATAACTGTGCTCGTTGTTTTGTCTGACTGCATGTATCGGCAGCGCACAGCTCCTGCCGCCACTAAATTCCATTATATTTGTCCCATATTGTCATTAATATACATACTGACTTCAACTTGGACCACTAAATATATAGACTGCTGTTGTTATCAGGGTTCCCACGGGTCCTTGAAATCCTTGAAAGGTCGTGAATCTGAAAAAAAAAAGTCAAGGCCCTGGAAAGTTTTTGAAAATAAACGTACATAGATACAGGTCCTTAAAAGTGCTTGAATTTATTTTGTGCAAGAAGTTTTCTGGAAAAAATTCCATATTATTCCCTCTGGTCCGCTAATGTTATTTCGCCAACACTTCGTGGCCTATGCATACTAGCTTGCTTGATTTACATTAGTTACGTGCATTTTACGTTACGTTAAGTGTTAGGATAGTTGTGTTTGACACATGAAAACTGTAACAATGTATCTTACAAGGTAACACGGTGTAACCTTGTTCTCACTTGAAATGTGTCCCCACATTAAGTCCTTAAATTTGAGGTTATTGGACCTGGAAAGGTCCTTGAATTTGAAGTTAACCAAGGTGTGGGAACCCTGTGTTATGTAAGTATGAGGGTTAGATTATTTAGTGTACAGGTCATTTCAAGAGTGATAAACAAAGTGATGGAAAATATTTATTTTCATGCATTTTAAATGTTTAAAAATGCGGAAACCACTCATTGCATCACACCATCTCCTGACTGCATTAAAATAGGGGCTTTATGGAGTGTGTGTATACATGGTTATAAGTATAACAGTTAATTTTTCATTAATTTAGGGAAATGAACAAGTGTCTTAGCCCTCAAGGGACTATTTGGCCAATCAGCTTATTCCTGCTTGAAAAGTAAAATGTTATTGATAGTGTAAAAAACACCAACTTTGAAGCACATGTTATTGATGGACTAGCATTACTCAACATTACTTAATACCTTACAGCAACACTACATTCAATGAAGGTAAAATAGTGGAAAAAATAATAATGGTTGAATAGAACCTGAATGGGAAAATTTCTAACAATACCCAACCCTACGCACATGACAACTGTTTTTATATCACTGAAGAATGTTTTCACTGTATTATGCCACTGTCTTCACAAAGAAGTGTCTAGAGTCATGAAATGATTGTCTAGTCATCAACTATATTTTTGACCTGTTTTTACGTTCAAGGTTTTTTTATGCAGGGTACACTAATCACTTTTCATAACGGTCAATATGAGCTAAACAGGCCTGCACTGACAACGAGAATCAGAAGGAAGTAAATACATATTTGGGTGGTGTAATATTATTATACAATGTCATTAATCAATGTATTAAGATAGCCTGTGTTAATTAAATTACTAAAATGGACAATAATGAGCAATAATAATTCACCACACTGCATAGGTTGATGCGATGACAAAAATGAAAGTGCACAGCTTCACCTAATTAATTAATTTTTTAGGTTATATACTTTTTTATTTGAGTAAGAGAATAACACCAATAAACTTCGGGTAATCAAAAAATGGTTTTATTCATCATTACATCATAGATCAGATTTATTTTCAGGAAATGGACAGACTAGATTGATGGAGAATCAAGTAAAGCTGAGCTGCTTCAGTCCAGTAAGTGAAATATTACTGCAGTTATTCTGACCTTTACTTGATCAAAATCAGTCAAGACTTGACAGCAGAAAGACACAAGAAGCTCCAGCTGAGGCTGGATGTTTGTACTATACTGAGGCGTATTATAGGACTGTGTTTTTGTGTTTGCAGAACATCGAGACTCTGAAGACCACATGCAGCATGCTGGAGGAGCAGGTGGTGGAGCTGGAGAGTCTGAACGATGAGCTGCTGGAGAAGGAGAGACAGTGGGAGAACTGGAGATCCGCTCTGGAGGACGAGAAGAGCCAGGCGGAGCGCAGAACCCGAGACATACAGAGACTGCTGGACAACGAGAAGCAGAACAGGTGCTTACAGCACAAGTCACAAACATTACCTTCGATTATTTACTTCAAGTGTGTCCTTTAATAGAGTTTGTCAGCATCTTCAGGTTAGCTGATAGATGCATTACATTGATCAAAAGTGACAAAGACGTTTATAATGTTCCAAAATATTTCCATTTCAAATAAATGCTGTTCTTTTAAACTTTTAATTCATCTGTGAATCCTGAAAAATAAAATGTATCACGGTTTCCACAAAAATATTGTGCAGCACGACTGTGTTCAACATTGATAATAATCAGAAATGCTTCTTGAGCAGCAAATCAGACTAGATAAAAAGTTTGTCAAGACAAACTTTAGGTTGGCTTGAGAAAGCCTAGCCTGAAAGTTTAAAACGGTTGTAAAAGCCTGAAGTTTGAAAAATTGAACCAAATTGATTCAGACACTTTGACCTGAGTATGTTTTGCTAAAGTGTTTTTTCTTTAATTGCTAATGGGATCTTTTTACACCACAGACTGAGCAAAATTAAGCATTGCTTGGTAATTGGTTGAGCTAAATTGGTTTTATCTAATTGTATTCTTAAATTTAACAGCTGACGGCTATTCAACAGAATTCATTACATACCTTTCTATCAAAGTTATCTGACGTAGTATTGTGGCTTGACTCGACCCTGTTCCTCCAGGTTGCGAGCGGATCAGCGCAGTACAGAGTCTCGGCAGGCGGTTGAGCTGGCGGTTCGTGAACACAATGCTGAGATCGTGGCTTTGCAGCAGGCGCTGAAAGAGCAGAGACTGAAAGCAGAAAGTCTGTCTGATACTGTGAGTTACACAAACACACTCGCAACAGTTTGTCCTGGTTCGCTCCGGCCCTCCGTCTGCGATATTAATATTCCTGCCAATATTGAATTTAACAAGCTGCGATTAAGCGCTACAGCTGATGGAGATTAATTAAACACTGCGGTGCACATGAACACGTCGCTGCGCATTAACAAAACCTTCTGTTCCCTCAGACAGGAGAGGCTGTGCTGTTTAAATGTGCTGTTTATTGTGTTGTGGTGCTGTTTTCAGCTCAATGACCTGGAGAAGAAACATGCCATGCTGGAGATGAACGCTAGGAGCCTTCAGCAGAAACTCGAGACGGAGAGAGAACTCAAACAAAGACTCATGGAAGAGGTGAAAAACACACTTGTGTACCAACAATGGACTGTAATTGTTGTCAAACATACATGTATTATATTTTATGCAGTGTATATATGCTTTATTTTATTATAATACACAATATTATAGTACATTAGTGTCTGTAATTATAATTTGAGAACCATTAAAGTCCATGCCTAAATAAATAAATAAATATTATATATGTATGTGTACACACACACACACATATATTATTTTTATAATTATTTATTTAATTTTGAATATTTTTAGTATAATATGAAATAATATATTAAAATATAGTGTCTGTAATTATAATTTAAGAACAATTAAAGCCCATGCAAAAATGAATGAATAAATAAATAATTTATATTATATTATTTATATAAATATTTATTTTGGCATGGACTTTAATGGTTCTCAAATTATAATAATATTCATAATAAGAAAAATGCAAAAAAATATTAAAAGCATTTTTTTTTTAAATAAATAGTTATAAATAATACATTTTAATATATTATTTCATATTATACTAAAAATATTCAAAATTAAATAAATAATTATAAAAATAATAAAATAATATATGTGTGTGTGTGTGTACACATACATATATAATATTTATTTATTTATTTTGGCATGGACTTTAATGGTTCTGTGTGTACACATACATGCATACATAATATTCATTTATTTATTTTGGCACTTTGGATGGAGATTTACTGCTGATCACAGAACCGTGCTTCATACGCATGACAATCACAGGTTCTGCCTGATTGCGATTGCGATTTTGATTGATCATGCAGCCCTAGTCCCAGTTTACTCGTGCTATTATCATCATCTGTGAAGACATTTTAGATTTGCACTGTAAACATGAATGTGTCCCAGAACACAATGAAAGACCATCTGCTCATCACAATCACTGCAAAAACAAGGGTTTATACGTCAGTAGACGAGAATGACTGTAAAATACATGCTGATAAATTTGCCCGGTTGAAACCGTTGGAGAGAAAACAAACATATAAACACAAGACATTGCAGAAGACCTTCAGTATCTCTGATCTCAACATTTACAACAGCTTCTCCACTAAAATAACGATGAGCGTTCTGCACCGAATGTCACGTCTGTGCAGAGATCAGACGTTTCCTTTGCTAACGATACTATGATATATAGTTAATGATGGATGTAGTCATGAAATCAGAGATCTTCCCCATGAAATACCCATCTGAAGTGGTCGCAGGAGTCATGTTATTAGCAGGTGTTTTTCTGGACTGATGGATGAATGTGTGTGTTTGTGTGTCAGCAAGGGAAGCTGCAGCAGCAGATGGACCTGCAGAAGACACACATCTTCAGACTGACGCAGGGCCTGCAGGACGCACTGGACCAGACCGACCTGCTGAAGACCGAGAGAACCGACCTAGAGTACCAGCTGGAGAACATCCAGGTGTCAACACACACACACACACACACACGTGTATATACACACACACACACAGGTTTTCTGAACACAATCCTGTCTGTCATTGGTCATCAAACAGATAGCCCCGCCAACTCACAAGCAGAACAGTATTGGACAAGAACTGACTTGAGCTGAATAATGACACTGTTGTCTTCTGTAGAGTTCTGAATTTGAGTTTCATTTAGGGTTATTAGTGTCAATGTCCACATTGCGACTTAAACTCATACGTGTCTTCATGTTCTTCCTCCTGGTCTCTTCTCAGGCCGTCTACTCGCACGAAAAAGTGAAAATGGAGGGAACCATCTCACAGCAGACCAAACTCATCGACTTTCTGCAGGCCAAGATGGACCAGCCCACCAAGAAGAAGAAGGTGAGAGAGACAGGAGCATGTTAATGAGACTCAGAGTTCATCTCATTCATAAAATCTGTCTCATTACAGTCTGATGTACATTTAAGACTGAGTTTGTGTTTGATTTGTGGGATTGAATGTTTCACATTGAACCGCAGGCACTTTACAGACTGGAATGAACAGTTTGAGTTTTGGTGTCTGCTTGCTTGTGGAATCCGCTAAATCTTTAAATCTTTTTTTTAAATCTCACTCAAGTTACACATCTTTTGCCAGAAATTACTGTACTGTCTGAGATTTCTAACAATCCTTGTCCATTAAGCACACTCACACGCACACACACACTCACTCATGCACACGCACACACTCACCCACGCACACGCACGCACTCACCCGCGCACACACACTCGCTCGCTCGCACGCACGCACGCACGCACTCACTCACTCACTCACTCACTCACTCACTCACTCACTCACTCACTCACTCACTCACTCACTCACTCACTCACTCACTCACTCACTCACTCACTCCGCACACACTCACTCGCGCACACACACTCACTCGCGCACACTCACTCACTCGCGCACACTCACTCACTCACTCACACACGCACGCACGCGCAATCACACACGCACTCACTCATGCACACACTCTCTCACTCACTCTCGCACGCACGCGCACACACACACACACACACACTCACTCGCACACACACACACACACACACACTCACTCACTCTCACACACATTACTTCTGTTTTTAGTTTTCTGATTTTTAGAAAAAAGACCTTAAATATCTTATTTAATCCTATTCTAATTTTTAATAACTTAAACCTGGTTTTGCCGTGAAAATAGAAGAAACCGGCATGGTGTTAAAAAGAAACAAACGGGAAATAAATCATTTTAAAATAAAAACAATCACAGTGAAACACTTACTAAAAAAAGATGATTCATTTTATTTGAAATAAAAAGTAGTTTTAAAATAAAAACAATTAACGTTAAACACTAAAAAGATATAGCTAGCAGGAAAACCAGTACAGATTGATAGTATTGGTGATCAGTCACAATGTGAAATTGATGATCAGCGGCTTTGTGTCATGTTGATCTGTGTGTGTTTTAGGGTATTTTCGGGCGGCGGCGTGAGGAGGTGGGCGTCACGGCTAACAGCGCCACCGCGGTCTCGTCTCAATCCGCCGTTCCCTTGCAGTACGGCGACATGAAAGCAGCGCTGGAGAAGGAGCGAGTGCGCTGCTCAGAGCTGGAGGAGGCGCTGCAGAAGATGAGGATCGAGCTGCGCTCCTTACGAGAAGAGGGTGAGTCTTCAGTGTCTGTCGTCATCGCTCCAAACCCGTAAGACCTTCGTTCATCATCGGAACACAAAGATATTTTTGATGAAATCCGAGAGCTCTCTGACCCTCCCAAAGACAGCAACGCAACTGTAATGTTCCCAGGTCCAGAAACATAGCAAGGACATCAGTAAAACAGTCCATTTACATTGACATTTAGTCATTTAGCAGATGCTTTTATCCAAAGCGACTTACAGATGAGGACAATAGAAGCAATCAAAATCAACAAAAGAGCAATGATATGCAAGTGCTATAACAAGTCTCAGTTAGCCTAACGCAGTACACGCAGTTTTGTTTATTTTTTATTGTATGTGACCATGGAGCACAAAAGCAGTGTTAAGTCGCTGGGGGATATTTGTAGCAATAGCCAACAATACATTGTATGGGTCAAAATTATAGATTTTTCTTGTATGCCAAAAATCATTAGGATATTAAGTAAAGATCATGTTCCATGAAGATATTTTGTAAATTTCCTTCCGTAAATATATCAAAACTTAATTTTTGATTAGTAATATGCATTGCTAAGAACTTCATTTGAACAACTTTAAAGATGATTTTCTCAATATTTAGATTTTTTTGCACCCTCAGATTCCAGATTTTCAAATAGTTGTATCTCTACCAAATATTGTTCCATCCTAACAAACCATACATCAATGGAAAGCTTATTTATCCAGCTTTCAGATGATGTATAAATCTCAATTTAATTTTTTTGTGCTCTTGGGTCACATATAATAAATAAAAAGAAAACGGATAGAATAGAAAAAGAATAGAGCAAGCTAGTGTTAGAGGCTATTTTTTTGGTTTGCTTTTTGTTAATTGTATAATAAATAAAAAGAAAACAAATAGATATAATAGAAATTTTTTTGGTTTGCTTTTTGTTAATTGTATAATAAATAAAAAGAAAACGGATAGAATAGAAAAAGAATAGAGCAAGCTAGTGTTAGAGGCTATTTTTTTGGTTTGCTTTTTGTTAATTGTATAATAAATAAAAAGAAAACGGATAGAATAGAAAAAGAATAGAGCAAGCTAGTGTTAGAGGCTATTTTTTTGGTTTGCTTTTTGTTAATTGTATAATAAATAAAAAGAAAACGGATAGAATAGAAAAAGAATAGAGCAAGCTAGTGTTAGAGGCTATTTTTTTGGTTTGCTTTTTGTTAATTGTATAATAAATAAAAAGAAAACAAATAGATATAATAGAATTTTTTTTTTGAAGAAAACAAGCAGTTAGTAAATGAATAGTCCATGTGACATCAGCACGTGCATGCTTTGATCTGAACGTAAACAGCTTATGCTGCTGCTGACACAGAACACACATGCTCTGCGCTGTTCATGTTCAGATCACAGCATGCACGTGCGTCACAATACTCTCCAAAGTGGCGGAAGACAGTGACATGAATAAAGTTATTTTAGTTTTCTTTGCGCACAAAAAGTATTCTCGTAGCTTCGTAAACTTACGGTTGAGCCACTGATGTCACATGTATTGATTTACCGATGTCCTTGCTACGTTTCTCTGCCTTGATTGTGGTAGTTCCCTTGCTGTCTATGGAGGGTCAGAGAGCTCTCGGATTTTATCAGAAATATCTTAATTTGTGTTCCGAAGATGAACGAAGGTCTTACGAGTTTGGAACGACACGAGGGTGAGTAATTAATGACAGAATTTTCAGTTTTGAGTGAACTATCTCTTTAGTACAGCGATGTACTGTAAATGTGGTTTGATGTTGAGGCTCTTCTCTGTGTCTCTCAGCGGCTCATTTTAAAGTGCAGGAGCACATGGCTCCGTCCACGCCGGCGTCGGCCCGTCAGCAGATCCTCATGTCGGCCATTGTGAAATCTCCGGAGCGCCAGCCCAATCCCAGCAGCCTCCTGAACCCTTCCAGCTCGGCCCGCCGCAAAGAGAGCTCCACGCCGGAGGGTCAGTACAGAACCAACACAGAGTCTGCTTCACACATACTGTTATTGTGGCTGTGATGTGATTGGTCAGGCGTTTCTGATAATACTGATGGAGCAGAAAAATCTGCAGCTGGTTTCCTGGTTATATTAGACTGGAGTGCAGTTATTATTTAAAGAAATATTTATGCAAAATTGATTCTATAATGCTGGTCTTATTGTGAGCTATTCATCAGTAAAAAATATTCCAAGCATAACAGAATCCAGGTTATATTTCACCCCTAAATTAAAACATATACAAGAAACCTATTTTTAGGACTTATTTTTTGTGACATTTTTATGAGTATTAAACACATTTACTCTAAAATTGTCATTAGTGCTATTCAGAAATGGTAATTGTGTCTGTGTGTGTGTATTTTTAATCAAAAGCTATATAAAATATATACATATACAAATTCTTACAATTATTTCTATGTGTGTGTGCGCATATAGATAGATATAGATATAGAAACAGTTGTAAGAATGAAAGAATTATATATAAAATATTACACATTTAACTATTAAATCAAAATTCCATATATATATATATATATATAAGGGCTGGGAGATATGGGCAAAAATTCATATCTTGGTCTTTTTTGGCCAATTTGCGATATACGGTATGTCTCGGAATTTCCGCTTTTGTATTTGTATATATATTTTTTTAATCTGTATTTAATATATATATATTTTACACACTGTCCAATGAATCAATACATATTAAAGGCTATGAAAACTAATAAAGTGAATGTAACAATGTAAGCCTATATATTATGTGCGCAAAGGGTCAAAATCATATTTCATTCTAACATTGTAACATTACAATCTAAAAACATAAATAATGATTTTAAAGCAGAAGTTATATTCACTAAACTACAAATAAGAACAACAGCACCGATTTGTATGAGGCTGTTTTGATTAACCCATTACAGTCAGTGCTATCATAAAAATACACTTACTTGTAGGTTTAAAATTCTACATGTCACATTGTCCAACTACAAGTATTTCAGCGAAATATATATATTTTAGTCAGAATTATTGCACTCTGTCTGTTTGGCGCTCGTTCACTGAAGTCTGTGAAGTTCAGCGGAGATTAGCGTAGAAGGCTCATGCACTCCTGACAGCAAAATGGAAATATTTCCATGACTTTCTAACATTTACAGATGGAGAATATAGCTGTGAAATGTAAATTATGCATTCAGGAAAACAGCACTTCTCAAACACATTAACCAGCTCAAGTAGAGTCTCTGTCAGCCTCACACACAGCCTTTCTGTCAGAGCATCTGACGAAACTATAAACTATACTATATCTTACCAGTTTTATTTAAAGCCCTTAATATGAATCTTGTCACATGTTTAGAACAAATTCTAATTTGTATATCTATATAAACGGTATTGCCTCATACCGTATCGCTTATAAAGAATATATCGATATATCGTACAAACTCAATATACCACCCATATATATATATATATATATATATTAGTGCGGTCAAACGATTAATCAGGATTAATCACATCCAAAATAAAAGTTTTTGTTTACATACTATGTGTGTGAACGGTGTATATTTATTATGTATATATAAATACACACACGTACAGTATATATTTTGAAAATATTTTCATGTATCTACATTTATATATTCATATTCTTATATTAATATTATATATAAATATAATTAATATATAAACATAACATATTTTTCTTAAATGTATACATGTATGTGTTTGTATTTTATGTGCATAATAAATATACACCGTAAACGCATATATTATGTAAACAAAAACCTATATTTTGGATGCGATTAATCGTTTGACAGCACTACTATATATATATATATTTGTTTTGAAATAAATGTTTTTATGATGTTCTTTTGAACACCGTTTCGTCTTTAACAGGTCCAAACTAAAGTGTTAATGCAGGAGTTTTTCAGGCTGACAGATGAATGAAGCTCATGTTGTTTGTAGATGAGGAATATTTCAGTGGTTTTCTCTCTCTGTGGCTGCTTCTGTCTCTTCATGTTTCTATCGGTGTCATCCTGCTCTCTTGCTTTCTTTCCGTCAAATCTGAGAGTTGTTTCTCTTCTGCTCTTTCAGCGAAGAGGAGGGTGACGTTTGAAAGTAAGTGTCTCTCTCTCTCTCTCTGTTCCTCCATCTCTGTTTCTGTCGCTCTGAGATCAGCATGTAGTTCAGGGTCGTAACCTCTGAGAGACACCAGACAGGAAGAAAACACACAGAGCAGCCATATGGGCCATTCACACGGAACGCACTTTTGCTTTGAATAAACGTGAGATGTGGGCAGTGGAAAAACACTAGGTCTGAAGTAGTGCTGGGTGGTATGACCAAAAATTTATATCAGTATTTTTCAAAATTATACTGGTTTCACGGTACATGAAGTTTTTTTTTTTTTTCATGCATGACCGGGTGTTAACCATATCTTCTACTGATTGAGAGGAAATACTGCAGTATATCGACTTAAAATGCCCTATTTTACTGTCATGATGAGTGAATATTGCCAAAAAATACCACACTAAACAGTGACCAAACACGACCCCTTTTAATACATGTTAACCAGGAGTCACTCTCATTTATAATCGCGGCATCGTCTGATAAAATCAACATGCATCTACACTAAAGAGCGGCTATGCGTTTTTTTTGGCTATATTACTTTTTTGTCTCATGCAGCGCACTGCCTGCGTCTGAGTAACAAACTAAAATCAACAATCAAAAAAGTGCATGTGATATTAACAAACGAACTACGCTCATATTTATAATTCCTAACAATCAGTAAGCGACAGGTGCTAGGAAACGCTGTTTTGTGCTCATTTATTGAGGAGTCGGCTGCGGTGCTTCTCTGCCGCTCACTGCACAGAACAGACGCCGAGAGAGGCGACACTTCTCCGGGAAAGTCAGACCTCGCGCTCGCAGGACAGCACTGGAGAAATCTTCCAACTGAACCATAGCTAAGCTTTATCCAGAAAAGTGGCTAGGTTTGTCAGTACGAATATTCTATAGAAGAAAGCCGCTAAAAGGGTCTGAAAGTTGCTAAATCTAGTGATAAAGTCGGGCGCTGGATATTTGTGGCGGTCAGTGTGGATATTGTGGATGAGTTCTTCTGTGTCATCACGTTCTATTAGTTCTACAGCTTCAGTTTCTGAACTTTCACGCTTAGTAACACATACAGCTGTTCCCTCACCACAGTGCAACCCCTTTCAAACAGTCGCGTTCCCAACGTTGTTTAAGGGACATACACCGGTATTGCGGTATTTTAAAAATTAATATCATAACAAAAATAAACACCGGTATTCTGTATGAACCGGTATACCGCCCAGCACTAGTCTGAAGATACGATGTTTTAAAATGTTGAAATTGTTCTAACATGAGCTCTGTGTTTTTAGAACGCTGTGAACACAACAGTTGAGTGCACCATGTTTATATAAAGTGTGTTTATATAGAGAAACAATGGAAAAATGCATTCTGCGTGAACGGCCCCTAACAACTGCATAGCAACAGCATATCAACGCCATGGCAACCTCCCGCAACACTGTAGCATCATGAGTTTTGCAAAGGCAAATGTTACAATTTAAAATGATTTAAAATTTCAATTGCAGTTTGACCTAAATGTTGTCTAAATAAAAAGTGCAGTAAGATGTTTAATGTTTTTTAAAGTCAAAAGTTTGGGGTCTGATTTTTTTTCTTTTTTGAAAGAATGCTTTTATTCAGCAAGGCTGTGAATTGATAAAAAGTGATTTTAAAGAGTTATATTGTTAGAAAAGATTTCTATTTTGAATAAATGCTGTTTTTTATATTCTATTATTTTTTTATATCCTTTTATATTAATTTTTTTAAATATTTTATATTCATCAAAGAATGCTAAAAAATATTAAAAAAAATATTAAGCAGCAAAAACTGTTTGGAACATTGATAATAAATCAGAATATTAATAATAAATCACACTGATTTCTGGAGGACAGTGAAGACTCAAGTAATGGCTGATGAAAATTCAGATTTGCGTCACAGGAATAAATAATATTATAAAGTATATTAAAATAGAAAACATTATTTTAAATTGAAATAATATTTCATAAAATGTTTATTTTTATTTATTTTTTATTAAAAGAAATGCAGCATTGGTGAGCAGAAAAGACTTAAAGAAGAGACTTTCAAAAAATCCTACTGATCCCAAACCTTTATAAATTTTTTTAAATATTTTATATTCATCAAAGAATGCTAAAAAATATTTAAAAAAATATTAAGCAGCAAAAACTGTTTGGAACATTGATAATAAATCAGAATATTAATAATAAATCACACTGATTTCTGGAGGACAGTGAAGACTCAAGTAATGGCTGATGAAAATTCAGATTTGCGTCACAGGAATAAATAATATTATAAAGTATATTAAAATAGAAAACATTATTTTAAATTGAAATAATATTTCATAAAATGTTTATTTTTATTTATTTTTTATTAAAAGAAATGCAGCATTGGTGAGCAGAAAAGACTTAAAGAAGAGACTTTCAAAAAATCCTACTGATCCCAAACCTTTGAATGCCAAGATAGATAGATAGATAGGTGGGTAGGTGGGTGGATGGATGGATGGATTATGGGTGGATGAATGGATTATGGGTGGATGGATGGATTATGGGTGGATGGATGGGTGGATGGATTATGGGTGGATGGATGGGTGGATGAATGGATGGATGGATTATGGGTGGATGGATGGATGGATTATGGGTGGGTGGATGGATGGATGGATAGATTATGGGTGGATGGATGGATGGATTATGGGTGGATGGATGGGTGGGTGGATTATGGGTGGATGGATGGATGGGTGGGTGGGTGGATGGATGGATGGATGGATTGATTTCTGCAGTGATTAAGCTGAAGCACATACAGTGATGTATCGCTCCTGCTGTCCTCGTGTCTTCTGTCTCTTTTCTTGAGTTCTGCAGCATGTCGTGTTTTTCTTAAAATGACTGATGATTAAGTTTCTGCTCTCAGGAGTTTGTGCTTGTCCATCTTTTTTATTCTCAAGCACGGACCTGCATGCGATCACTGATGACATTTTGTTTTGCTCAGATCGAGGCGGACTCACGCACGGTTTTGTTGTGGCTGATGAGGCTGTTGCTGGATGGTGATGAGTTTTATTTTAGGCTGATCGGTTTGACATCATTCACACAGATGCTCTATTGGACATTAATAACCCACACTAACTAACTCTCTGTCTCTGTCTGTCTGTAGAGTACGGGCGGCGCGTGAAGGAGCGAATGCATCACAACATCCCGCATCGCTTCACGGTGGGGCTGAACATGAGAGCCGCGAAATGTGCCGTCTGTCTGGACACGGTGCACTTTGGCCGACAGGCTGCCACATGTCTGGGTACAAAAACACAAATACACAAATGTGACCCTGCAGCACAAAACCAGTCTCAAGTCGCTGGGGTATATTTGTAGCAATAGCCAACAATACATTGTATGGGTCAAAATTATAAATTTTTCTTTTATGCCAAAAATCATTAGGGTATTAAGTGAAGATCATGTTCCATGAAGATATTTTGTACATTTCCTACCGTAAATATATCAAAACTTAATGTTTGATTAGTAATATGCATTGCTAAGAACTTCATCTGAACAACTTTAAAGATGATTTTCTCAATATTTAGATTTTTTTGCACCCTCAGATTCCAGATTTTCAAATATTGTTCTATCCTAACAAACCATACATCAATGGAAAGATTATTTATTCAGCTTTCAGATGATGTATAAATCTCAATTTTGAAAAATTGACACTTAAGACTGGTTTTGTGGTCCAGGGTCACAAATGAGCTTGAATGTCCACAAATGGAGGTTTTAGCTCACTTCTGAGAAGAATTTGTACCAATAAATATGGTTACATACACTACCATTCAAAAGTCTCTTCTGCTCACCAAGGCTGCATTTATTTGATCAAAAATACAGTAAAAATTGTGAAATATGATTCTAATTTAAAACAGCTGTATTCTCTGTTAAACTGTAATGTATTTCTGTGATGCGCAGCTGTATTTTCAGCATCATTACTCCAATCTTCAGTGTCACATGATTTTCAGAAATCAGTATAATATGCTGATCTGCTGCTCGAGAAACATTTCTGATTATTATCAATGTTGAAAACAGTTGTGCTGCACAATATTTCTGTGGGGCCTCTTCACATAGAACTCATTTCTGCGATGCTTTTCCATTGTTTCTCCAAGTAAACATGCACCGTTTGTGTCTTTTGCACCTAAAATTGCATCTAAAAATGCAATGCTCAAGAAGACCTTGAGTTTGTTTTTTGTTTTTTTTATTTCACTTCCCACAAAAGTGTTCTGTGTGGCCCATAAATGAAAAAATGACTAGTAGAGAATGTTCATTTTTTCTTCTCTTGTCTCTCTCTCTCTCTCGATCTTCTCTGTGTACTCTTTATCTTCTCTTCTCTCGGTCAGAGTGTCGTACTCTCTGCCACCCCAAGTGTTCCCCGTGTTTGCCGGCGACCTGCGGTCTTCCTGCTGAATACGCCATTCACTTCTCTGAGGCTCTGTGTCGGGATAAAGCCAGCTCCCCTGCGCTGCAGGTCAAAGAGGCCTCGGGTCACATGCGTCTGGAGGGCTGGATGAAGCAGCCCAGGTGCGCTTATGAGCAGACTGCTGTTTGGAATATGTTCCGGGTCAGTTTGACCCAAATCAGTGTTTGAGTCGTCAGAAACTGGTTCATCTGTAACTGATAGACCAATTTCAGTGTTTGTGGGCGGAGCCTTTCTGGTGGCAGAAAGATACAGTTTTAACGTAGCAGTCTATTGAAGCTATGGAATAAGAAAAGAAAAGAATAATAAATGTATTTGAGTTTATATTTCAAAATTCTGACTTTTTTCTTGCAATTCCGAGATTATATCTCACAATTCTGGTATGAAAAATCAACTCGTCATTCTTTCTTTTTAGTTTATAATCCCACACTTCTGGCTTTTTTCCCCCTCAGAATTGACAAACTCGCAATTGTTGAGTTGAATCAAGTTATAAAGTCCGAACTAGGAGATATAAACTTGCATTTGCAAGAAAAAAGTCAGAATTGTAAGATTAAAATAGGTAAATGTTATGTAAAATGTTATAGGTTTAAATAGTATTTCATGCATGTATTTCAACTGTGGGGCTAATACAATATGTCCCCTATATGAATATTATATAGGCCTATTGTTTAAATCAAATTTGTGCTTTAAAAGTAGGATAATCATAGCAGGTTTCATCCATAGTCTGTCCATTTAAACGTCTGCGTTTAGCTTCAAAAGGCATCTTTGACGACAGTATTATATAAAAATTATTTGCATTCTGATTCTGACATCCAAAGGCACAATAAAAAAAAATTATCTTTTTCCATGGATTTTACCCGTTTCTCTCCACTTGTTCCCAGCGTTTTTATGCCATTCTAATGTGTCGTGGAATGTGCATACAAAAACAGTATTTAATTGAAATAAAATAAACAACTTAAACTTTTTATTTCAGCTAGTTTCAACACTTTTGAAGTACTAAAATAAAATAACTAAAACTATATAGTCATACTTAAAAACAAACTAGTAAAAATGACAAACTTTAACTAAATAAAAATAAATACTAATCAGAATATTAACTATAATAGTATATCAGTGATACTAAAATAACAGTGGGTTAAAGGCAGCTGCACAGAACCAAAACATGTATGTTGTCGTATTTTATGTCAGTTTATACAGACTACATGTAATTACAGATACTTTTATCTTTTATTTATCATGTTAATTTAGCTAAGAATCGAACCCATAATCTTGCTGTTGCGTGTGTCATGTTTCTACAGTTTGAGCTTCAGGAAAGCACACAGAATTAAGTGCTTTTCCACGTCTGTAGAAAGTTATGGGACGATTAATGCAGTTTTAAAAATCATAATGTGTGAGAATTATTCATGTTAAAGCTTTACTGCTGTTACCTGATGAATCCAGCCGAGTTCAATTTGAGCTGCGCCATAAAAAAAATATTTTTAACATTTATGCAATGCCACTGATGGGCTGTTTTCGATGTGTTTTTGTAGGAACGGTAAGAGAGGGCAGCAGGGCTGGGAGAGGAAGTATGTGGTGCTGGATGGGACGAAGTTATCGATCTACGAGTCCGAGCCGACAGAAGGTAGATGATCACTCCGTCAGATCTCTCCACGAGATGCAGCTGGGTGTGTTTTCTGAACTCTGTGTGTTTCAGACTCGGTGAAGCCGCTGGAGGAGTTTGAGCTGTGTTTGCTGGACGGTGAGGTGACGGTGCACGGAGCCGTCGGAACCTCGGAGCTCATCAACACGGCCAAATCAGGTCAGAACATGACTGTGCTCCAGGAAAAATGAAATCATTTTACACATGCATGTGGTTAGCAACATCCTGAGCTTTAAGTTTCGTTCTGATAATCCCAAACGTTGTATTTTAGTGTGTACTGTGGATTATAGTCGATGTGGGGTTTTAGTTTTCATGAGTATTTTGAATGTTTTTTTCCCCCATATTTTGAATGTTTAATTTTTGTTAGTTATTAGTAATTTTGTTGCATGTTTTTGTCATTTATTGAGTTTTTATTAATTTTTTGTTATTTTAAGACATGAAGTTAAACTAGTTTTTATAAAAATTTTAAATCAGTTTTTATTTTTATATTTTCTCTTTTCATTTCGATTTTAGTTGAAATTTTAGTAGTTTTGGTGGGGGTTTTTGTTAGTTATTCGTAATTTTTTGCATGTTTTTGTCATTTTTATTGAGTTTTTATTAATTTTGTTATTTTAAGACATGAAGTTAAACTAGTTTTTATTAAAATTTTGAATTAATTTTTATTTTTATATTTTCTCTTCATTTCGATTTTAGTTGAAGTTTTAGTAATTTGTGTATTTTATTAACTAAATATGAGAAATATTGCTTTGGCAGCTAACTAAATAACATAAGTTTAGGGGTTTGTTATTTTATTGTATTTCAGTTATTTTATTTTAAGCACTGAATGCTTTTTATGGTTTTAGTTAACCATGATAACCCTGATTCACACTTTTCTGCTCAATCAGTTAATGTTTTTGAAATCACATCTACTATATTTAAATACATTTAGCATATTTCTGCCCAATATCGGCAAAAACAATTGTCAAAAGTGTCATTAGCTTTGTTTAAAGGAATACTAAGTAACTTCATATTTAATTGTTTTGCTGCCTCTTATTTGTCTTCCTGATGTGATTATAGAAATACACCATTGACGCGTGTATTTGTTTACACGGTTAATTCATTCTGATTTTTAAAGTGTCTGATAATAGATGGGTTTATTGAGATAAACGTCTGTGTGTGCGTGTGTGTGTCAGATATCCCGTACGTGCTGAAGCTGGAGTCTCATCCTCACACCACGTGTTGGCCGGGTCAGTCTCTGTACTTCATGGCTCCCAGTTTCCCAGATAAGCAGCGCTGGGTGGCTGTTCTGGAGTCAGTGGTGGCCGGCTGCAGAGGATCCCGAGAGAAAAGCGAAGCGGACGCGGTGAGTGAACGTTATATTGTCTGAGAATATATAGGTATATTGAGATAAACGTCTGTGTGTGTGTGTGTGTGTGTGTGTGTCAGATATCCCGTACGTGCTGAAGCTGGAGTCTCATCCTCACACCACGTGTTGGCCGGGTCAGTCTCTGTACTTCATGGCTCCCAGTTTCCCAGATAAGCAGCGCTGGGTGGCTGTTCTGGAGTCAGTGGTGGCCGGCTGCAGAGGATCCCGAGAGAAAAGCGAAGCGGACGCGGTGAGTGAACGTTTCCTTCAGTCCCTCTGCGTTCATGAATCCTTCAGAATAATAATCACACCTGTGTCGGCTTCAGTCTGACTCTTTATGACCTCATGAGACTTTAAAACCAGCGGGCTTTAGTTTACTCGGTCACTGCAGTATTCATATGATGCTATAATCGATGATATTAATATAGTATCTATTAATGTCGTCTAATTAGCTTTTAGTTTTCATTTAATTTTAGCTACAGATTTTGTAATTTTAGGTGCTTTTGTCATTTATATTATTTATTAAAATATTTATTTTTATATTTAATGTATATTTAAAATAAAAATCTTGTGTATCAATATATATTCTACCATTCAAAACTGTTCAAATTAGTAAAAAAAAAAAAAAAAATTTAATATTTTTATTCAGCAAGAATGTGTTCAGACTTGCATTGTTAGAAAAGATTTCTATTTTAAATATGCTGTCGAGTTTTAAAAAAATTTATTATTTATTAAAGAATCCTGAAAATAGTGTCTCAATTTCCGAAAAAATATTAAGCAGCACAACAGTTTCCAGCACTGATAATAATCAGCATATTATACTGATTTCTGAAGATCATGTGACACTGAAGACTGGAGGAATGATGCTGAAAATACAGCTGCGCATCACAGGAATCAATTAGATTTTGAAGTATGTTAAAATAGAACATTTTTATTTTAAATTGTAATATTTCACAATATTGTGTTTTTTTTTTTTTTGATCAAATAGATATAGCCTTGATGAGCAGAAGAGATTTCTTTAAATAACATTAAAAATCTTACTGATCCCAAACTTTTGAGTCTGTGTCTGTCTGTGTGTGTGTGAGCGAGTCTGTGTGTGAGAGCGGGTCTGTGTGTGTCTCTGTCTGTCTGTGTGTGTGAGAGTCTGTGTGTGTGTGTGTGTGTCTGTCTGTGTGTGTGTGTGTGACTGTCTGTCTGTGTGTGTGTGAGTGTCTGTCTGTGTGTGTGTGTGAGTGTCTGTCTGTGGTGTGTGTGTGAGTGTCTGTGTGTGTGTGAGAGTCTGTGTGTGTCTCTGTCTGTCTGTGTGTGTGAGAGTCTGTGTGTGTGTGTGTGTGAGAGAGAGTCTGTGTGTGTGAGCGGTCTGTGTGTGTGTGGGGGTCTGTGTGTGTCTCTGTCTGTCTGTGTGTGTGTGAGCGGGTCTGTGTGTGTGAGCGGGTCAGCGGGTCTGTGTGTGTGAGCGGGTCAGCGGGTCTGTGTGTGTGAGCGGGTCTGTGTGTGTGTGGGGGTCTGTGTGTGTCTCTGTCTGTCTGTGTGTGAGGGTCTGTGTGTGTGTGGGGGGGTCTGTGTGTGTCTGTGTCTGTCTGTGAGAGTCTGTGTGTCTGAGTCTGTGTGCGTGTCTGTGTGCGTGTCTGTGTGTGTGTGTGTGAGCGAGTCTGTGTGTGTGTGTGTGTGTGTGTGAGTGTGTCTATTGTTTTTCCTTAAAAAAAGAAAAGGTAAGTTTGTTGGTTTGGTAAGGAGTGGGAATGATGTTAGTTTTCAAATGCAGCGCTCATATAAAATGCAGTAGACTGTGATTTAAAAACAGTTATGTTTCCTGTGTGAACAAGCTCAAGTCAAGACAAATTTTATTTCTGTAGCACTTTATACAATACAGATTATTTCACAGTAATAAACAGAAATAACAGTGTTACTGTTAATGTTGCAAGGTTTATCAGTGATAAAACTAATTCCATTTCAGTTATAAAGCAGCTCTACAGAAGACAACAGTGTGATAATTCAGATCAGGTCAGTGATCGTGTGTGTGTGTGTGTGTGTGTGTGTGTGTGTGTTTCAGATCGTGCTGGTGGGCTCAGAGGAGGGTCTGTATGCTCTGAATGTCATTAAGAACTCCCTCACACACATCCCGGGACTCGACTCTGTTTTCCAGATCCAGGTCCTGAAGGAGCTCGACAAGCTGCTCATGATCACCGGTCAGTGTCCGACTCTCTGCTTCACATGTGTGTGCTCTTACTGACAGAATAATGAGACGTTAAAGGTGAACAATAATCACAGACAGTGGGTTACTAGCAGAATACTAGGGCTGTCACAATAAATCGATGCATCGTGATTCGTGGATCGATTCAAAAATAATTGCATGGATTTATTTCGGCATCAGAGCAGCTCTTCCTGTTTAGATGGTTTGAGTGTGGTTAGCTGACTGTGTGTGTGTGACAGGTGAGGAGCGCGCGCTGTGTCTGGTGGACATCAAACGGGTCAAACAGTCTCTGGCTCAGTCTCATCTGCCGGCGCAGCCCGATCTCAGTCCCTACATCTTCGAGGCAGTGAAGGGCTGCCATCTCTTCGCTTCCGGAAAGGTAGAGACCCCCATCAACCCACACAGTATATGATGCGCTTCCTGTTACCAAGTCTAATAGAGGTCCTGTATTTGATCTCTAGTTATAAGTGTATTGAATCTCCTGATTTACTCTGTAATGCATCTCATTATTGAAGTAAAATTGGTTTTGAGCAGTGTTTCACATTGACTTGTATTGAACCTGGAGGTTTCCTTTGTAGGATCTGTGGATGTAGGCGAGATACAGTATGTAGGATTTTGGACCAATGAGATTTCACTGTGGGCGGAGCTACTGTACCAGCATAAAATGATTGACACCCTGTGTTGACAACCCAGTGAATGATTAAAAGTCCTGGTTGGAACCAGTGTTATTTTAGTATTATTTACATATACTATTACAGCTTTTTTTTAATAATATTTTGAATTGGCTTTTATTTTTATATTTCCCGTTTTCATTTTTAAATTTCAATTTCAGTACAATATAATTACGTCAGTATAACTTTAGTACTTCAACTTATTTTATTTCAATTAGTTGCCAACATTTCTCATTTTCGAAAGGTTTTAAGTGCAAGTTGTTCATCTAATGGTTATATTTTATTTCAGCTTTGTTTCATTTGACAAAAATACCCCGTTAACAGAATGTTGTTAACAGTGTTATATTAGTAACATTTCTGTACTAGTTTAATAATATTTGGAATTGGCTTTTATTTTTTTAATTTAAAGGTTTAATTTGTTTTAGTTTTAGTTTTAGTTCAGCTTAAACTTTTTTTTTTCTCAGTTAGCTGCCAAGGCAACATTTCGTATTTTCATTTATTTGAAGTTATTTATTTTGTAACATTTTAGTACAATTTAATCTACCTATTTTATTTCATTTAGTTACCAAGGCAACATTTCTATTTTCATTTACGTTTTTAAGTGCAAGTTGTTCATCTAATATCTGTATTAATTTTAGTACAATTATTTAAACATTTTAGAACAATTTAACACTAGTAATTTTAGTACTTTTTTGTGCTTTTGTCTCTTTTTCTTTTTTTACTATTTAGGTTTCATTTTATTTCAGTTTTAGTTTAATTTAAACTTACTTCAGTAAGCAAGGTAACATTTCTAATTTTTGTTTTTTTAATCTAATATTTACATTTTATTTCAGCCTTATTATAATGAACATGTTTTAATAGTTTTAGTTGTTAATGATAATGACGAGATCACGTATATGTCTGTTTATCAGACTTTACTGAAGTGTGTGTGTGTGTGTGTGTGTGTGTGTGTGTGTGTGTGTGTGTGTGTTTCAGATCGACACATGCATGTGTATCTGTGCTGCGATGCCCAATAAAATCACCATCCTGCGCTTCAACGACACGCTCAACAAGTTCTGCATCAGAAAGGTGACGTATAAGACCCTCCTCATGCACGTCACACACGCGTGTTCATTTCTCCCTTCACGCGTGTGTGTCCGCTGCTCTTCCGCAGGAGATCGAGACGTCTGAACCCTGCAGCTGCATCCACTTCACCGGATACAGCATCATCATCGGCACCAACAAGTTCTACGAGATCGAGATGAAGCAGTACGTGCTGGAAGGTGAGATGATACACACACACACTGAGAAACACACACACTCACTCTCACACACACTGAAACACACACACACACACACACTGAAACACTCACACACACACACACACACTCTCTTCTCTCTCACACACACACTGAAACACACACACTCACACACACTGAAACACACACTCACACACACTGAAACACACACACAGGTTTGTTTTTGTGAAAAGTGGGGACTCTCCATAGGCGTAATGGTTTTTATACTGGACAGACCGTATATTCTATTGCCCTACACCAACCCTACCCCTAAACCTACCCCTCACAGGAGACTTTCTGCTATTTCAGATTTTCAATACCCTCCATTCTGTGTGATTTATAAGCGTTTTGAAAAGTGGGGACATGGGGTAATGTCCTGAAAAGTCACCTTCTCCTTGTAATACCTGTCATACCTGTGTCATTATACAACTTTATGTCCTCATTTGTCACAAAAACGCGCACTCACACACACACACACACACACACACACATTGTAACCGCTGCTGATGAACTGAACTGGTGTGTTCAGAGTTCCTGGATAAGAATGACGTGACTCTGGCCTCGGCTGTGTTCGCCGCCTCGTCCCACAGCTTCCCCATCTCCATCATCCAGGTGTCCAGTGCGCCGCAGAAAGTAGAGTACCTGCTCTGCTTCCACGGTGCGTGTGTGAACCGTACGAGAGGCTGAAGGTGTGTGTGTGTGTGATGTCGTGTTTCACTGGTGTGTGTGTGTGTTGTTTGCAGAGTTCGGTGTGTTTGTGGATGCATACGGCCGCAGGAGTCGCAGTGATGACATCAAATGGAGCCGCCTGCCTCTGTCCTTCGGTAAAACCTAGTTTTGTTCATCAGTGTAAAGTCTAGAGAGTTGACGATGGTTTATTTGATAGTTTAGAGTTGTGCACGGAAAAGCAAATCACAGAGAAAAAAACAAGACACACTCCAGTCATTCACATGATTTAACGCAAACAACGATCCTTATCGTGATGCATATTATGGCTGCTCGATTATGGCAAAAATCCAAATCATTATTTTTAATCACAACAATTTGATGTAATTACTCATCATCAATTTATTTAACTTCAGAAAAAAGAATTGTCTGTTTAACAGTGGATTTCCTAGAACTATAGATTTAATTCCACTGAAAAACAACAACATTAACAAATATAAATGTATGAATAATATATTTTTGTAATATATATTTTAGATAAATTATTACATATAATCATTTATTTAAATGTTAGTAGTGTATAATTGTGTAATATTGAAATATTTATATATTATAGTGTATATATATATATATATATATTAAATTATAATAATTCAGCTTAAAAATAAAATGAAATTAATATATTTAGTATGTATATATATATATATATATATTATATATTTTTTATTATTATAACTACTATTTATTAAATATATAATATTGTAATTTGTATTATGTATTTTTTTTTTACATATTTATAGTATATAATTTGTCTTATCTAATTTTCATAATTGTTGGAAGCAAGGTAATTAAAAATAAAATTAAGATGAATCGCCAATTTGACAAAAACAAGCATAATCTCAACAAAAAAAAACTTGTTTGATGTCAAGATTTGTATGTGTTATTTACTGTATTAATTCATGTTTCTGGTCTTATTGTGAATGACGCATCAGTGCATATTATGCTAAAGAACTAAAAATGTTGTTGTAATCTAAAATGGAAGCATAATGTTAATGTAATATCTATTTAGGCATCATTTTAGCAATCTCACATCAGCTCCTGATCAATAAAATCTTATCCCGTCTGTTTTCTCCACAGCGTACCGAGAGCCGTACCTGTTTGTGACCTACTTCAACTCTCTGGACGTCATCGAGGTTCAGAGTCACTCTGCGCTCGGGTAAAACCGCTGCCCCCTGTCTGGTTTGGTTTTGTTCCTGATGTTTGTTAGAGACGCTCTGAGTGGTGTGTGTGTGTTCAGGCCTCACGCTTACGCTCACCTGGACATTCCTAACCCGCGTTACCTGGGTCCGGCCATCTCGTCCGGCGCCGTGTATCTGGCCTCGTCCTTCCAGAACAAGCTGCGTGTGATCTGCTGCAAAGGAAACCTGAGTCAGGAGGCATCGACTGCAGATCCGCAGAGAAACGGCTCCACGCGCAGGTCAGTGTCACGTTTCTCTGGAAGAAGCTTCCTTAGGGGCTGATTAATCTTTTCTAGCTCGGGGGAATGATTTTTCCATAGGCACAGCTAGGGCTGGGAGATATGGCGAAAAATTTAAATCTAGATTTTTTTTTCAGAATGTTTGACTGATTCTGTGTTTTAAAAAAAAAAAAAAAAAAAAAGATTTTTAACTAGTCAACTTGAAAATGTAACTACAGCTTGATTCAAGTAACTTTTTCTTTATTAGCTCTCTGTTTAACCAAAATTCTATTCCAAGTGCACCACACACAAAATTTTTATAAATATTGAAATACATTTTATTTATTTATTTTTTTACATGGGGGGGGGGGCTAAAGTAGGTAGAATTTTGTTGTTTTTTTTACTACATTTTTTTTGCCTTTTAATTCTAAATATATAAAAATTTATATATATTATAAGGAGTAGAAGTCCTTCAATATAATTAAATGAATATATTTTAAAATTAGAATATTTTATAATATATCTTAGCGTATTAAATCAATAAACCACAATCAATTTTGTGATTCCAGAAGTTTTCAAGAACTATATTTTCTTATATAAAAACAAAAGCTGTTGATGGGGAAATAATTTAATTAGAAATATTTGTTTTTTTTATAGCATTTTAATTTACTTAAGATTATTTTAATATACAGTACAATTAAACTACATTTATTAAGGATGTCACGAATAAAGTGAAAATGAAATAAAGTTTATTGCGGCATCAAATTTAGATCTGCTAATGATGCATCAAAGCATGCGTTTTTACAGCGTTCCGCATTGTATCCAATCACACACGATTCTGTTGAGCTTATGAATGCGATGGCCAATCAGAGGCGTTCAGATGAGTCATCAACTCTCGCGAATTCTCTCATCATAAACAACAAAGTGGAAATGTATGTGCGATGTAAGTAAGAGATCAGTTTGACATTGTTGACAGCTTCATTGATTATAACGGGGGAGTTTTTGGAGCGTGCTTAAACTCACTCGTCATATTCTTTGATAATGTAAATGTTCTTTGCTTGCTTTTTGTGTATAGTTTGTGCGGTTTGAATAACCGTAGAAATGAAAGCGGTATAATTAGTAACTAAAAATATTTTGTGACGGCACCCATATCTGGTACTTATGGAAAGCCTTTTTCTGCCTCTCTCAATATTGTGAGATAAATTAAGATGCAATTACCTTGTTTTATTTTTTTTCATTGGGTACCATATGTGCTTGCCTAAAAGATGGGGTTATGATGTGTGTTAATAGATTACACTAACATTAGGCATAACATTACACTAACTTATATAAAGAGCTCCAGGTTTGCTGTGCTTGTTTGTAGGGCTGCACAATTTGTCCAAAAAAAATCATTTTGTGATTATATTATTTGAGTAACATTTTACAGTAAGGTTTCAATTGTTAACCTTAGTTAACCACATGAGCTAACAATCAATACTTCTACAGCATTCATTATTCTTAATGTTAACATTTACTGAAACATATTTAAAATCAAAATGTATATTTTTATTATAGTTAATGCACTGTGAACTAACATGAACAAACAGTGAAAAATTGTGTTTTTATTAATGAAAATTATTATTTTTAAATGCTGTTAAAATATATTGTTAACACATGAGACTATATTGCTGTGTTATTAATATATGACTATAAAATAATTGTTACTATTATTTTGATGATTATTATTATTAAATACAATATATTTCTTATTTTAATACTTTTTAATTAAAAACTATTAAAATAAGATTTTTTAATCTTTTATTTAATACAATTATTTTATTTTATAGTAAAAATCTGTAAAAGTACAACAGTAATATTTATTTAATTTGTTTGCTTTAAAATCGCTTTTTTTGCGGAAAACTGCTGTGAGATCTTAGAGCTTCTGTTTTGTTGATTTATAAACTATTCTCATTACAAATTTGGAAGATGGTTGGCACATGTTGCTCTTTCGAAATGTATAAGCGACTTAAATATACAAAGATGAGTTGATATAGCGCAGCGTTTACTGCAAACACTGGCGGATCACGAGCTGCTCGTGTGTACATGAACACAGTGCTGCGCTTCACTCTCAAACACAGCGCGCAGATTTATTTCATTAAATTGTGTCGGTCAAATCAGGTTTGACGTTAACGATCGAAACAATTAAAGTCATTGGCATCAAACCTGCTGCACCTGCAATATCAGAGTGAGATTTGAGGTGAATAATGATTTAAATGCAGCTCTATCTGACTGTGAACAACCCCATGTGACCTGAAATCTGGCTGTGATTGGTCCAGAGTTTCTGACTGTGTTTTTCTACTTTACAGGAAGAAAAGTGCTTTCTTTATTTGTGCGAGGGAGTGACAGATCATGAGCGTTTAAGTGATGAATAAAGTGTTTTAAAGGAGAATATCCTGAACCCCGCTCGGTGTGAGACTAGATTTAATGTGGCGCACTGAAAACGTTCTTCCTCAGCTTTCATTATATCATTATATTTAGGTGTTTTCAGAAGCTCTTGTTCATAATGTGACTGTTGCTCTCTTTTTATAATGTTATTTAAAAGCATAAATTTGTTGAAAGTAGACACGTGCTGGTATTCGGTAATGCGATATATCACGGTAATGCATATGCACGATATTGTTATCGTGGGCACTTCAAAATACCGTGAATAATTATTTATTACAATTTATTCAGATTTTTTTTAAATGCATTTTAAGAATATTTTTCCTATCAACTGGTCACGACGCACAACACCGCCCCGTTGTTTTGATTCTTTATTGTTCGGTCACACTTTACATTAATGCTCTATTAATTAACATTAGTTAATTCATTAGTAAACATAAACTGCCAATGAAAAATTATTCTAAACCTTCATTAATCTTATGTAATTCCAATATTAAATAAGACGTTAAAATCAAAAGTTGCAACTGTGTTATTTAATGAACTAACAGTTGTATTTTTCAACAAAGTTTAATAACTTCTGTAACAAAAATGGAGATATTGCTCATTATTAATGTTAATGCATTAATTAAGGTTAACTAATGAGATCTCATTGTGAAGTGTTACTTATTGGTTTTTATAGACATTTTTGACTTTATACTTTTTCGTGTATTACTTTATTGTATGTAAATGTTCAGTTATTTTTGTTTTAAGAAAAACCTGTTATGAAAACTTCATGACAACACTTTTTTGCATCTAAATTTCAATACTGTGATAATACCGTATACCGTAATAAAAGCATTAGCAATTAATCACACCATGAAAATTTGATACCGTCATATGCCTAGTTGAAAGTGTGTTATTGTGGATATGACGGATGAGGAGACGTGTTTCTCACTATTCGAGGGTAAGTAGTCTTGTGATTTTAAGTGGTTCAGTTGCGCACATGAATCTGAATCGTCACTGGTCTGATGGGCTTGTGGTTTATTATTCATAACTGTACAAATATATTTAATCTCCTCTCACTGGTGAACATCTGTCAGGTGATTGTGAACTCTCTGCTGCGTGTGTAAACCATTTAGAATTTGGGATTGTTCTCTTCTGCTCACCAAGGCTGCATATATTTGATGAAAAATAAATACAGTAAAAATTGTGAAATATTCTAATGTAAAACAGCTGTTTTCTATGTGAATCTCAGTTAAACTGTAATGTATTCCTGTGATGCGCAGCTGTATTTTCAGCATCATTCCTCCAGTCTTCAGTGTCACATGATCTTCAGAAATCAGTATAATATTCTGATCTGCTGCTCGAGAAACATTTCTGATTATTATCAATGTTGGAAACCGTTGTGCTGCACAATATTTCTGTGGAAACTGTGATACATTTTATTTTTCAGGATTCACAGATGAACAAAGTTCAAAGAACAGCATTTATTTGAAATATAAATCTTTGTGACATTATAAATGTCTATACTGTCACTTTTGATCAATTTAATGCATCCTTGATGAATAAAAGTATAGATTATTCATATTTCGAATAAGTACACATATATACAGTTGTAACGTTTACTGTCACAAAGTTTATATCTAATATTACATTGTACATTTTTTGTAAAATAACCCATGGAAATCATCTTTACAAATGAATTTGCTTCAAAAATGAAGTGTAAATGAAAGAAACTGACTGCTGAACACAACTTCGAGGTGTTTTGGTGGAAACTGGTATTTTTCTGTGAACTACACGAGTCCACATTTGAAGTGGATCAAAACCTTTCATCAAAGTTGTCCTAAAACCAAAATGCGTTCTTGTCTTTGGCTTTGATTAACTTTTTTTGATCCACTTCAAATGTTGACTAGTGTAAATGAAGGCGACTGACTTCGACTCTTTCTTCCTGGTTTCTGGCAGCCCAAACAAGCGCGGTCCTCCCACCTATAACGAGCACATCTCCAAGCGTCTGGCTGGTATGCCCGATGTACAGGAGGGCCTCCACCAGCCCGGGACGCCCCACCGCTACCACGAGGCTCGCACTGAGTTCAGGCGGGACAAGTCTCCCGTGCGGCCCCTAGACCGAGAGAAGTCCCCGGGCCGGCTGGAGCGGTCCCCCGGCAGGATGATGGACCCTCGGCTGGACCACTCGCCGGGACGAGTCATGAACCTGCGCAGGGAGAGGTCACCCGGCCATGCGTTTGAGGAGCCCCGCCAAAGACTGCACACGGGATCAGCTCGAACCCCTATCAACACTGTTAACAAGGTCAGGACGACTCATTAAATATTAAGGGAATAATTTAAGACAGTTATATACCATCATCAGCTTATATTGAAGTCATTTAGTCTCTTGTTGTCTCAGAGAATATGCACCGTTAATGCAGCGTTAGAAAGCTCCGTCAGTTTTTTTACTTTCACTTTCTCTGTAGTGAATTGACTGGCGTTCACCCGCATAACTCTTGCGCACGGTTTGCATGTTGCTTGCACATTTCTGATGCCCCCCCCCCCCCCGGGCC